CACCCCGGCATCCTTCCCCTGCTCACCCCCTTGCCAGCTCCATCCAAACTGGGCTGCCGCTCGACTCTTTGCCGGCCAACGCGGCGGCCCCGGCTCCTGGTGCACAGGGTGGGGAACTGGACTGTGCTGAAAGTGCTTGCGGCTAACCCGCACCTGGGGGCAAGCTCCTCAAGGCGTGTGCTCAACGAGATTGAGGCAACAGGTCCGTTTTCTGCTCCAGCAAACCTTGACTGCAAGCTGACTTTTGGGGATGGGGTGCTGGCCGAGCTCTTCACGTGAACACGAGGCGCCTTGCTCGGTGGCCCCAGCAGGACAGCATCTGACAGACAAGGTAGTTAAATTAGGAGAGAGAAGCTCAGGAGGAATTGTCGCTTCTTACTGCCCTGGTCTCTAATTCCATGTAGGGATTCAAACGTGGCTTTCTCTTTCTTAAACAGCTTGGAGGAAGACCAGGGGAATTTCCAGCACTTGTTGCCCCCCGCCCTGATTCAGGCAGTGCTTTTTATCTGGTCTCAGCAGGTGGGCAAGATTGTTCACAGCTGGGAAAACTGAGGCACGACCAGGCACAATGGTGGTTGGCTAGAGGAGAGCCTGGATTTCCAGTTACCCCCCCAAGCACACCACCATCTCCTGTGCCATCCGTCCCCAGTGGGGAGGGTGGCAGCCTGAGGCAGAAAACTTGCATATTCAGTAAATACGCAGCAGGGTAAAACTTTATGGGGATCTGTAAAAACCCTTCTGTTATATTTCAAGGTCTGGTACTCAGCAGGTTGGAGGCATATTTTTGCTAAAGATTTACAACACCCACTATTCTATAAATCCAGTGTCGCTGAGTTCTGACACCTTGAATAAGTCTCCAGCAAAATCAGGACAGACAGACATGTTCTGCAGAGCTAGCTTTATTTCATGGCTTTTGTACAACAGGTAAAATATTAGCAACTCCTTAAAAAAAAAAAACAAACAAACTGGCCAACGAAACAAACAAAAAAACCCCCCAAACTTCCAAGCAGAACTTCTGTTGCTTCAATATTAAGGGGACAGTTTTGCTGTCGGGTGTATTTTGCTGCAAGGAAGTTTGTCAACATCAATTCTCCCTTTATTAAATTTCCTCATACCTGTATCTCAGTTTTGATGTACTAATTATCTGCCTCAGAGGATCCTTTTATTAGTTCTATCCACGATTCCTCGTCAGCTCCTTGTTTTCATTTATGTTTGCACCATTGAAGCAGTTCCCAGCCCGTGTCACACCCCGCCCTTAGTGGCTTCTTCCCAACCCAAATATATTTAGTGCCTTTCATCTTTCACATGAATCTTCAAATAAACAACGGTTTTATTGCTTTTTGCTGGGCTTGCCTCTTGTTAGCAGAGGCATTTTTACCTGCTGCTTCAAGGGCTCACCCTTCTTTGGTGGCAGACACCCATGCCTCTCTCCGTGCCACTCACACAGGCGCTCCTGGGTTTGGGGAGAAAAAGGTCATGTTTTGGGTTCGAGGGTGGACATGCATTGTTCTGGCTGCCTGTGTGTCCTCCAGAAGGGCTGCGTTCCCACGCCTGCTTGCTCCCATCACCGCTGCAACCTCCAGCCGTCCGGACAAAAAACAAAACAGCCACAAGACCGAAGCTGGGGAGATGCGTCTAGACAGCTCGGTGCTGCCTGGGGACCACGCTGGGTCCACATGTGGCTCCCACGCAGTGAGTCCTTCCCTGGCAAATCCCAGCATGAGGCTTCCTCTACCCCCCACGGGGCTTCTTCTGCCACCGTTGATGAGTCAACGTTCATCCTTTGGGCATGAAGACACGGATGTCACAGCGGCATCGAAGGAAAGGACAACTGGGGGGAAGCCAAGAGTCAACGCATGGCCAAAGCACCGCGTCTCCAGCAGCCGTCAGCGGTGATCTTTTAGGGAAAACTCCTGAAACATGAGGTCTCATCCCCTCCCGGGTTTGTCCTTCCAGGCTCGGCCTCAGGCAGATAGCAATCCCTGAGGCAGAGGCTGCACCCGGGCTCCTGCAGTTAATAACAAACCCTTTTATCTGAGCTCTTTTTGAACTTTAACGCACACATAAAAGTTGTCTCAACAACATCCCCTGACACTGAGCGCATGATTAATGTGAAAAAAACCACTTCCTGCCTTTGTTTTGGGCCGTCTGCCCGAACGCTCGCCCGGTGCTCGTGCGACGGCGAGTCCGAGCCCTCTCCTGCTCCCCCTCCTGCAGCCCCCAGCCCCGGGGGGTGACTGGCCCAGCTCAGCGCTCAGGATGGGCACGTGGAGCAACATCACACACCAGCAGTGCAATTTTCCTTTTTCACTTCCTAACATTCTTTTCATCTGCAGCTTTATTGCCCTGTCAGGGGATCCCTCGTTGCAATCGACTTTATATTTGATGAGCCTGAAAAACGCTCATTCTCTGGAAGATGTTGCCACCCCTGTACTTCTCTTTTTCCAGATCACGTGTGTTCAACTGGCCTGAACCAAGAAAAGGTCTAAATGCAAGCTCCACAGGCCACCTCCCTCCGTTATTAACTACTTTTGCCGGTGGTTTTGCTCTCCCAAACAATTATCACTGAAATGAATTCCTTCTTTCAGACCCCGTGGGAAGCTCCGTGAGACCTGAGCCTGCTGGAACCCCGAATTTAAAAGGCACTGGAAGCTTGGTGGTCTGCTGAGGACGGACCTTCCTGTACGAAAGCTGCACATTTCTCCCCGGGATGCTCTTCTCTGGCTCTCTGCTCACTGGTGTCCTCTACAACAGCTTCTTGCAACTGGTCTGGGCTCCTCCTGAACCTTTTACCTGTAGGGGCGTCCCGTTTGCCACCCCCCATACCACGGGCAGCGCAGCCGTGTTGTGCAGTGGGTTGCACACGCCTGCTGGTAGCGCTTAATCTGATCTGGGACCCTTTGCAGGCTCTTGAAGGCCTCCGAATCCCACAGCTGGAGCTTTGCTCTGAAACACGATGCTTTTATCTGGCAGCAATTCCTTGGGCTCGCTCCCTGTGAAGAACGGCTCCAGCACGGGAACTTCGCCAAGCCGGCCTGTAGCAAACACGGATGCAAATAACTCATTTTGTTTCTGTGCTACTGCCTTATCTGTCTGCTGACGCGCTTTGCAGCACAGCACGGGGCCCACCGTGTCTCTGGCCGGCTTCCTGCGGGCCCCACAGCCCTTCTCCTCGTGTCATCAGCATCCCACTCGTGAACGTACCGGTGACTTGTCTTATTGGGGTTTTATATTCAATTTGCTGGTTTATTTTCTCCTCTGTTTTCCTCCTTTGGCCACAGCTGTCACTTTTTGAATGTTCTCTTTTAAAGCACTATTGGCACAGGCTATTCTGCTGTTTAGCCATGCTGGCTTTTAGAGATGTTTTTCTTAGATTACTCTGATTCCTCCACTAAGAGTCTCTAATGCCGTATCGGAAAGCCTCTGTGCTCCTCGTCGCACCCACTGTCCTTGTAACTGCACTCGCAGTTCTGCACCTCTAACTTCCTTTTTATATATATAAAAAATATGTATATATAAAGTTAAATGTTACTGTGGTAGTGAGGTTTGGTTTTATGAGGATGTTAGGCTTGAGCATATAATACTGCAGATTCTCTCTTCCGGTGTTGGCTTCTGAAACAGCTACAATGCTCAAGAGTAAATCAAGAATTGCCTTTTTCTTGTGAATCCTCTCATTGTCCAAGACATCAGTTGACTGTAGCACCTAAAATTCAGTATGAAATTTGTGTATAACATCTATTCAGCCTCTGTAGGCATTGCTGAAGTTTCACTTTACTACTGGGTTTTCTTCGCAGCCTCTCCGATCTCCATTAGCATTCCAAGCCCATTTCTTCCTCTTGGGGGGTGGAGGGGATGTGTCAACAGAATAGCCTGAGCTCCATCTTCTCTTTTAGGAAGGAAAACTTCTGAGTTCTACCATCTGCACACCCAAAAGTGCAAATCTTCAAGCAACCCTCACACCTCCACATTTCTGTACGCCTGAGCATCCCCTCCCCTCCCTCAAGCCAGAGCCCCTGCACCCCGAGCGTCTCTCTAGTGTGGAAGGACCCCGGGAAGGGGGATTGCAGCAGAGGATCATCGAATCGCAGAATGGGTCGGGTTGGAAGGGACCTTGATCACGTAGTTCAACCCCCCTGCCCCAGGCAGGGCCCCCTTCCCCCAGCCCAGGGTGCTCCCAGCCCCGTCCAACCTGGCCTTGAACCCTTCCAGGGAGGGGGCACCCACAGCTGCTCTGGGCACCCTGGGCCAGCGCCTCACCACCCACGCAGTAAAGAATTTCTTCCTTAGATCTCACCTAAATCTCCCCTCTGTCAGTTTATAACCATCACCCCTCATCCTACCCCCACCCCCTGACCCAGAGTCCCTCCCCACCTCTCCTGCCCCCCCTTTAAGCCCTGGGAGGCCGCTCGAAGGTCCCCCCGGAGCCTTCTCTTCTCCAGGCTGAACCCCCCCAACTCTCTCAGCCCGGCCCCCCAGGGGAGCTGCTCCAGCCCCCCCAGCATCTCCGTGGCCTCCTCTGGCCCCGCTCGAGCAGCTCCGGGTCCTTCTGCTGTTGGGGGCCCCCGAGCTGGCCCCAGCACTGCAGGGGGGTCTCCCCAGAGCGGAGCAGAGGGGGAGAATCCCCCCCCTGGCCCTGCTGCCCCCCCTGCTCTGGCTGCAGCCCAGTCACTCTCCCTATGACATTTTTTTTGTCTGCAACTTTTACCAGCAGCATCTCTATCATACAACCATGCAGATACACCCTGGGACTTGGGATGTTTGTCTTCTGCTCCCACCTCTTGCCCAGAGCTCACCCACCTTCCCATTCCCTTAGTTTTAACACACGCAAAACCAGAAGTGGTAACTGGAATTTCAAAAAGGAGGATGGTGATAGAGGAATGGATGCTGTCATTGCTAGGCTACACTCCTAGACCAAGAGGAACACTTGGAAACCCAGGGCTTAGGTGCTGGGGGATGTGGGATAAGACAACCTTTTGCAAAATAAAAAATTAAGAGGCAAAGACCAGCAACAAGACAGTTGTAATTCAGCTTTGTTAAAAAAACAAAACAAAAAAAAACAACAAAACAACCCAAAACATAGAACAACCCAAACATTGAACAGATTTGTTAACCACAGACATAAAAGAATCAAGAAATACTACAAAAAAATACATTGCAGGAGACATCTTGTTTTACAAGGCAATTTGATTAAGTTACTACTGGCTGACCAGCACTCAGTCAGTTGTGGAATAGCTGTGTTGACAGGAACACAAATATTGTAAATAGACAGCGCTTACTGTAGAAGTATTAAGACTAAAAGATATTTACCCCTTAAAATAAATAGAATGTCATCTACAGCAACATTTAAATTAGTAAAATATTTTTAAAGCAACCAAATATAACAAAATTGTAAATCAGATCTAGATTTTTTTCTGTATGTTAAGATCCACTTTTTCTGCGTTTTTTTTTTAAAAAAAAAAAACAACAAAAATACAAACTTTAGAAGAAAGATATCTCTGAAAAGTCAGATTATTCACTAGAAGTGAATTTCACCCTCCCTTTGTTCTGCGGGCCAGCGCAAGGTCTGGGTACCACTTAAAAGACTTCCTTTGCAAAGATTTAGGTGGGACACAGACCTCACTCTGTCCTCTGAACAAATAAGGATTTTTTTCCCCAAATGTGAAATTCATCCCAGCGCAGGAGACGCAGCCAGACCCCGCGTCGCGCTGCCTGGGATGCGGGAGAGCATCCGCGCGCTTGCAGAGCCCCTGCGCCGAGAGGAACGTCGCCCGACGGGAATAATTTAGATGTAGATAGAAAGTCTCTTTTAGGCCCTTTAAAAATTAATTCAATATTTAAAAAAATATTTTTATTTTTTTATTTTTTTTTTTCCTCATTAACACTTCCAACAGCTGGAGGAAGCAACGCCCCGTCTCACACAAGGAACAGGGGGCTAAAAACAACGAAAGAATCCTCTGGACATCGGTTACTTAGGGGTGACCTAACCCACGCCACATTTCCTACCACTACATCGCGCGGGCGAGAGCGTCTGCACCAAACTGGGAGCCCTTGGATCCAGCAGCACACAGGCAACCCCCTTCCTGCTCCACCCCCAGCTGCTAGTTCCAGTTCGGACCGTGTAAACTGGGAAGCAACTTCTCAAAACCAGCCTAAGGCTGGCTGGCTGAAACTCCTCGAGAAGCCACCAGAAATGTAGAACCCCATGAGCATCCCCACCCCCCCGCCAACGCCGAGGGCTCGTGGGATGCCCCGGCACGGGCAAGGGCGCCGCTGGAGGGGATTCCTGTCGCCCCAGGGAGTTGGTGGCCGCTCTCCCTGGTCGGCAGCCAAACGCCGTCGGCTTCGGCGGCGCCGGCCCGGCTCGGAGACGCTCACCGAGCTCCCAGGGCCGGCACAAGGCTGCGACTGACCCCACGGGGCTCTGCCGAGGCCGTGGCGCCGGGCGGCAGACCTCGGCACGAGCCCCGCGGCGGGGAACCGGAGCCGTCTCAACCCTGGGCTGCCCTTTCCCGAGCTCCAGGAGGAAGTTTTTGTTCCGAGCCCTTTCTCAGTGGCCAACGTCGCCTTCCCCCTTCGATGTCATTAGAAATGGGAGTTGTGCAACCGGTTGATGGAAAAGCTGGCATCCCGCAAGAATAACCCCAACCGGCCAGAGTGTTGCGTAATGGCAACGTTCGGCTGGTTTTTATTTGGTTTTATTTATTTATTTATTATTTTTTTATTAAAGCCCGAGGCCCCCGTAGGCTCGGCTGAAGGCACGGGTACCTTCCCAGACTGAGTGGAAGCCTTCCCTGCAGCCAGACTGGGACTCTGCCCCTGCAAACCTCTCCCCGTGGTTGGGAAGTCGCGGCCGTGGGGATAGAGCTCTGTCACAGCACCGCTGTCCCTCAGCTCCGCTCTCAGGGCAGACCCACAGCAGAGGAGCCCATGGAGGAGCCCGATTTATTCCCTTGCCTGAGCCACCCACGGGGAGAGGGCTCGGGGAACACCAAAGCCGCTTCTTACGAGTTTCGATCCAGTTGAAGGATCTTTAAAGTTTGGCTCAATAGTGACAGAGCCCCTCTGGACTCGGTACCCACAGACGGTGCCATTAAAAACAAAAGTGTGTTTACCAGGACACAGCATCTGAGATGGCAAACACTGCAAATACTGCAGGAAGTATATATATATATATATTAAAAAAAAAAAAAAAAAAAGTAAAAATCCACCCAGGATGACAAATCCTCCCCATTTTGGGGCAGCAGCAGGGCTGGTTCCCCTCTCAGCTGGGAAGAAGGTTTTTCATTTAGAAAGAGGAACCCAACGGGTAAGTAGGCGCCTGGCTCCAGCTCTGCACACCCCTGCCCTACTGTCTAGCAACCCCTGCGGGATGTTCTTCCAGAACACCCCAACAACTGACTGCCCGGGAGCCTAAATACTTAAAAACAAGCAAAGAAGAGTGATAATTGAAAGGGGGGGGGGTTTAATGCAAGGACCAAGGGGCTGCTGCGGCACAGCCGCCACTCGCAGAGACACACCGCCACAGCTCCACGGTTGGACTCGATGATCTTAAAGGTGTTTTCCAACCTAAATGACTCTTGTGATCCCACTGACATGGGTCTGGCTGTATCTGCAGAGTACTGACATAGGATCCACACGATACCTCGCTCAACTGTAGCTACCGTTTAGGAAAGCAAACTCGGGGGCGCTGCGGCCGTGTGTGTCCTTTGCGGTGGGTCGCAGCGGGCGTGACTGGTCACAGGCTCGAAAGAGCACAGGCAAACAGAGAAACGACAGAAAAATCCCACGTCCGGTGCTGGGAACGATGAGAAATTTTCCGGGAGGTCTCTGTTGCCCCCCTCGCCCTCCGTGACACATCTCATTCCACATTTGAGGAAAACAAGCAGCAAGGAGGTCTTTCACGGGGGTGTATTCTCTCTTTTTCCATACCAAAATCCAGCTGAACATGGCCAGCCCCGAGGGCAGCAGACACTCCTGGCTGCTGATCTGAGTTACAAGCGGTGCCGGACAGCAGATACTGTTAGCAGCAGTTTCACCCATTGGAGAATTTACTTTATTGTGTTCTCTTTATAAAATGAAATTCAGTTTTCCCCCCTTTACTCATTATCTCCCTAAACTCCAGGAAAAAAATAACCCAGCCTCTTACAGCCATGTCATCAAGCTCTGGTGAAGGGGAACTATCGGAGTCAATGAATCAGGGATAAAAGAAATCAGGTTTTTGAAAGGTAAACTTTGAGATGTGAGTTGTGGCTGACCAAATTCAACATTTTCGTCATTCTGTGCTGGTACCTGGTTCAGTTTCTTATACCTCTATTGCCAAGAAGATGCTGGCGAGACCACCATGAGACATATGGTATCAGTGCCAGAGCCAGCAGGTTAGTACAAGAGAAAGATCTTTAGCAGCAAGTGAAAAACCATTAAAATTCATAAAGAGCAAGCAAGCGAGTTAAGGACTTAATTAAGAACAGTTAATTAATTAAAAAATATTTCTCGGTGTGACATCTCCTCTTTAAAACCAGTGTGAGAGATTCACCAAGAGGACATTGTTTAGTGATGGTCTTCGGCGCTGATGAAACTCACTTAAAGATGTGTCCCAACCGAGCAACCCCCACGCCTCTGGGAGATTTGGACCCGTTTCTGAGCTCTCCGTGGATCGGATTTGAGTGGTGCTAATTTACATTGGATTGAGGTGGCTGAGAATTTAAATCCCTTCCCTTTGCATCACAAGTAATTCTGCTGGTATGTGTTAGCATGGAGAGCCCCTACGCTGAACCCAGGCCCTGCAGGAAGCTGGCCCTGAGACCCCTGCAGCCAAAAAAAACACCTGCAGACCGAGCGGGAGGTGACAGACTGCGGTTCTCTCTTCCTGAAAACAGGTTCCAGCATAAGCAGCGATTGCACATCCCTAACCCTGCCCAAACATCTCAGCCTTCAGCTGGAAGAGGATTCCAAAAATTTGAGTTCGGGTTTCAGAGTTCACGACCTTCTTTATGCAAATGCCTCTCCGCAGGCACTCGCTCTGAGATGCTCCGATTCATTGCACGTAGGTCCCTGAACAGCCAGGCACTGGCCATAAACTTTGGGTTCTTCTGCGCTGGAGATACACCCAAACCAGCCGCCAACTCTCCAGAGGTTTAACTAAGGGCCAGGAGAGCCGGTCACTAACCCGTGGGAAGCAGCACCTGAGCTGGCTCGCGTATCTCTACCCTGTGCTGCCACGGAATAAGCAAACCTGACAGCAAAGGGCTTCAGCGTGATGATTGTCTCACCTATTCCCTCCTGCGCCGCCTCAAAGCGAAGACGCGTGGTTGGCGAAGCGACAGCAAAGAGCTGCACGGAGACACTCGTTGGCACAGCCACGGTCATTGTCACACACACTTAAAACAGAAGCTGCCACCTGCTATAACACACTTTTTTTTTTTTTTTTTTTCCTTTTTTTTTTTTTTGCTAAAGAACTTAAAAGGACAAAGCATGAGCTAGTACCATTGGTGTCCTTAATGCCTCTTCATCCAAAAGAACTCTATGCTACGAGGAAAATCCAGTGGAAAGCATTAGCTCTTGGGAGGATCCTGGCTTCGAACAGCTAAGTTTACAAAAATAGGAGAAAAAGTTGTTCAACGACCCATTTGCACGAAGCACGAGCACACAGAAGATCTGTAACAGAGACTGAAGCAGCTCACATGTGGGGAAAAGATGCTTTTGATTTCTAACTGCCACCTCGAGCGCAGAGGCATAATGAGCACATTGTTCAAAACCTGCAGTTTTGCTGAAAAGGTGATGCTTTTGACCAAAAAAAGGGACAGTTTTGACTACTTGGGACCTCGAGGAATTTTGGGTGGCCTCTGGGGATGGGACTGCACCACCCGCAACAGCAAAACGTGATTTCACATGCGGGTCATGGTTTATGCTCAGAGACCCCTCCCTGAACGGGAGGGTGTTGGTGGGGGCACCTCACCAAGCCAAACCTGATGCTGCAGTTTTGCACGAAGGAGAGACCAAGCCCCTGGTCCCTGGTTCTTAGAGCAAAACAGACCATCTGCAGCAGACCGAGATGAAAGCCAGGCTCCAGCCATCCGGGGCCATCTGCCCTTTTCTACACCCCCAGACCCAGTTGGTCCCATCTCCACTGCACGTTCGAGAAGAGGAAGAGACTCAGCGTTCACGACGGGCAGCGCACAGACAGACCCCCCCGGGGACGAGCCCAGGGAATCCCACCCTTATTTTCTCTTTGCAAATGGTTTAGGGGCAAACGTGAATCAGACCGTGGGGAACGAGCGGGGCCGTTTGGAGCGCATGATGTTGCTCATCCCATGCTGGATCATTGCCTGACTACAGCAAAACACGGAGTGAGCAAGCCAAGGACTTGGCCTTCTGCTAATTGCAGTTCCCTGGGGTTATCAGGAGGAACTTCACCCTCAGGCCTGCACCTGCCCCAGTGCTAATTCTCAGTGCCATGGGACGGGCATTCTGGTGAAGAGCATCCCGGAGGGCCGGCTCAATAGCAGGGAGATGGCTTGGATCTGAGAGTTAAAAGCCAGGCAGTGGCAGGGGACCCCGAGTGCTCTAGTCAGGAACGCAGTGAAAGTCAGATGAGACCTCCCCACGTCATTTCTCTGACACTAATTCTGCTCTGCCTTGTCTCACCCAAGTCACTGCCAGTGGACCCAAAGCGTCTGGCAGCGCATATTTTGGTGTGAGTTGGTGTGTGTGTAAGCCTGTGAGCCAACGTCAGCCACCCTTTGCTTCCCAACCACCCTCCCCCTGAGGTCCCTCAGGACCTCCCTGCAGCTCTGAGACTGTCCCAGCCCCAGACACAGGCACGTTGGGACAGCTGGCAACACTCAAACCGACCTCATGAGAAGATCCACCATCGTCTGGGGAATCCCAGACCGAGTAAGCTTACACAGAACTGAAGCACAGCCCTCAGTATCACACACACACAGAGATACTGATCGGCCTCGCTGCCGCCGGACGGGCAGGGCCCCTTCGGAGTTGCCGTCAGGATTTCCTCCTCCTGGCCCCAGCTCGTACCGAGAACTCATCACAGGGCTGCTCATCTGCCAGGCTAAAAGGTGGTGACGGCGGGGCTGGAGAAGGCAAGGCAGAGCCGGGGGCATGGTGTCAGACATGAAGCAGCTCTGACGGGGTGCTCCAGTGCCTAGGTTTCGTTTACGAGGGATCAGAAGCGTTTTCTCCTTGTGTTGTCTTAAAATAATATTGTGCGTTTCCTCGAGCTGAACGTCTCTGCTTTTCCTGCTTAGGATTCTTGTGGAACCACTTCCATCAGTTTCTGGCACAGGACTGTTGCAGTGACTGTGGGGAAGAAAGCAAAGCACGGGTCAGAGATCGGATCCAGGGGCCCAACATACATCTGGGTCTCGGTTCACGATACTCTGCCTCAAAAGGGCTGACCCATTCGCCTCCCCGCCGCGGTTCTGAGCAAGATTACTCCAAATGCAATTTAAGATGTGAAAGCAAATGAGCCGTGGGCTACTCTCTCCTCAGGCCCAGCACTGAAATATGTAACACCGGGAGCTTTGCTCCTGCAGCAAGGATGCTGCAGTGCCCCAAGAGAGGCTCTGGTACGTCTTGACACCAGTTTCTAATTGCACGGTGATACGGGAACTACGCTGCGATGCCAGAACCGCAAGCAGCCAACCCCGAGTTAGGCACAATAGCAGGAATGGGCATAGAAAATCGGAGCCGATGCTTTTACCTTCCGTTTTGAAAACCTCGGCTGTATGTGCACTCAGCTCCTTTAAAGGCTCGAGTACCCAGGACAAAACCAACCCAGCATTCTGAACACAAGGCAGAGTCCAGTGCCGCGCACAGAGCAGGTGAGGAGCAAAGGAAGCGTTTCAGATGCAGGTTTGCACAGCAAAGGTGCTAAACTGGAGTTAACTTTATTTTTCCACCCGGTAGTTTTGGTGGCTAGTATCCAAACACACCCGTGCCTTCTGCTGCTTCACTCTGTCTTTGGAGATCACAAGATAGTCTCGCCAAGTAAAGCTAACACTAATTCTAAAAACACACAAAGTCAAACTCAGATCAGTTGGAGCTGATCAAATAATCTGCACTATATGAATATACACGTGTTTAAAGTTCTTCGGTTTCTAAGGGGACACTTGCAGGATTATCATTCTGTGTTCCCAGAATATTCTCTATATTCTCCTTACAAGCCTTTGGTGGTAGAAAACAATTAATATGGTAATTTGCTGCCCAGGCACTGCAAAAATGGCTTTTCCAGGAACTGAGCCTAATACTCTGAATAAAAAAAGTGAGCATGTGAGAAAGAGAGAGGGAGAGAGAGACAAGGGGTAAAAAAAAAAAAAAAAAAAAAAAAGAATAACAAGTGCTGAGCACTGTTGAAAGCGTTTTTCTTCTTCACAAAAAGCATCCAGCTAAGGCTGGGCATTTCTACTTCTCTGCTTTTCTAGGTCAGTCTGCTGTAAGAGAGCTGGGAGGCAGATGGTAGAGTTTAGTTACTTGGACAACACGGATTGACTTTCGTGATTCAGTTGTTCGGAGAGAGGTTACATGTGCCAAGCACAACCTCTCCATCCCTTCAAAACACACCGTGCTGTAGTGTCAGCTGTTGGAAAACCTTATGTGAAGACACCTTAAAAATAAACCTCATAAGAGAAAACATCCAGGGGATTTTCCCCTCCTTCTGCTCTGCTGCCATGTTCTGATGCCAAGGAGAGCTTTGACTGGATCAGAAATGTTAGCACTGGCTACGCGATGGATTGGGATTAATTACGGATTTTCAGCAGTCAAATTGAGGCCAACTGTGCTCAGACTGTGATGCTGTTACCTCTTTTCCCTTCCTACACCCCTAGGAAGGGATTCTCTGCTGACAAAAGGCTTGACCCTGTGCTTTTACAGGGGGCAGAAGAGAGGCAGCAATGTGCTCAGCAAATTATGCTCCACAGCGTAACAGCAACCTGCTCGCCAAGATAAAAAAACCCAACATGGTATTTGGCTCGAACTTTGCAACTATCACAAGTCAGGGTGCATTTGGGGTGCTTGGTAGATAAGGTAATCATCAGGTTAAAACTTGTTCCTGTCAAAGAAGAATTGAACAGAGCCAAGCCACTGGAAGCCTCCACTACAGAAAGGAGAGCCAGTGCTACTAGCTGTAGCATGCTCACTGGGAAGCTGCTATTTTTTGGAACAAAAGCCAAGGCTGCACCCTTGGTCTTCACTGGTAACACTTACAGATGCCTTGGAGAACCCACTTGGGCTTGTTTTGCCACCAGACCCCGAAGAAGTAAACAGGGATCCCACTGAAGATGATTGCAAAGCCAATCGCACATTCCTTTGGCGTCATCCAGAAGGAAACAGCAATGAGAAACAAGCAGGCCAGGATGAAGAAAATGGGCAGGCAGATGTTCACCTAAAGAAGGACCCAAAGAACCAGGTAAAGGTTGTATCAGGGGAACAGGGCACACTTTCCAGTGAGGTTTATCTAGCTGTACGGCCCGGGGAGGGAAGGAGTTCATGTTCCAGCACGGACCCCCCCCACGGATGATGCTCCTGTCTGTCCCAGTGCTCTGAACAAGGGGACCATGACCTTGAACTGCCATGGGGAGGGTATCGATTTAGGCGGTGCTCTTCATCAACCCTGGAGAAAGCAGGCATGGGCTAACACCTCACATGCACATTTAAAACCAGCAAACCAAAGCACGGAGTTGTGGCTTGCCAAGAGCCATGAGCCTTTCTTAGCATCCTTTTTTTGACCCCAATTCCATCCCTGAATTAGCCCTTGTAAACAGCACCTGTACCAACAGCATCAAATTCAGCAGCAGCCACAGCACAAGCCATAGCATCTTCACGGCGGTTTCTCAGGGGACTTGGGCTACACTGCTCTGAGCAGGGCGTGCGCTGAGAGCAGCCCAGATTTTTGAGGAAAAACCACAAAACAAAGGAAACACCCTGCAAAGAGTTACTTTGAGAAGGCACTGGGACAGGTCTGTGAGTTTGTTTCTCTCTGGCTGCCTGTTGCCTGGCAGAGACCTGAGTGTGCTGGGGGATGAGTGAGAAACATGCCTTTAGGAAAGGCAGACATGCTTGTGGCTGACATGATCTTGGCCTCCTCCCAGCTGGGACATGGTACTGCCAAGCTGGCCAAGGACAAAGAGAACAAAGTTCTCATCTCTGCAGGCGTGGGTCTGTCTGCTTTGTTAAAAAAACCTATTTTAAGTGAATTCCATGATGGTACAGAGCGTTTCCCTGAGAGCCACAGCCTATGATTTGTCCTGGGGAATATGTTAGTCATTGAGAGCCTCCCACTGGGCTACCCCACCAGAACACCCCGCATCTCTGACACCCAGAGCCCCCTTCACTCCGATGTCCCCACGGCCACACCAGCAATTCGTCCTCCTGCACCTTATTTGCCAGATTTCCGTGCAGCAGGGATGCCTGGCTTAGCTCCGACACAACATTTCCCCAGCACGCTTGCAATCCCAGTCCCTCTTCCACACAGGACAAGCAGCTGTAGTTGCTGAACCTTCCCTGGTGCTGAGAAGGGACTCAGGGAGGACCCGCCACGCAGTTACCACGCTGTTCTCACCCTGATGGGCCTTTCCAGCTCTGGCTTCTTGTAACGCAGCCACATCATGCCGATGATGGCCAGAGCCACGCACAGCCAGTTGAAGAAGCTGAAGAAGTTGATGACTGAGAAGATGTTGTTGGAGAAGGCGTAGAGCAGGGTCATGACACACTGCACCCAGAAAAAAAAAAAAAAAAAAAGCCGTTTGCAAAGGGAATAGGCAAACCCACATGTGTTACAACACTAAATACGGGTATTCTAGAAGAACTATCTGCCAGGAAAAGAATCCTATTGATTATTTTTTACTTATTTAAGCTGTTTTCAATGGGTGCCTGGAGTGACGTCAAAACAGAAGTGGAATATGAGGATATGATGAGAAGAAGGGCCTGTCCTCTCCTGTAGGTCCATGTGTCTGGACGTGGTGGCCAAGCAGCCCCCCCGCCTCCAACCACTCCGATGGGATCCCACCCCCGACCCTTTTCTCAATACCAGGTCGATGCTCCTCACCACAGCCCCCGGTGCTTACCGTAAAGATGAGGGACGGCACGGGAGTGAGAAGCCTGGGGTGAATCATAGACAGGATTGAGGGCAAGTGACCTTCTCGGGATCCCACGAAGAACAGCCTGAGGTGGGGGAGACAGAGTAGTTACCACCTCCCCGAACTTCAGCCCGGGGCTGGGGTTTGTCTTCGGCACAAAACAAGTGGGGACAGCCCAAGCTCAGCCTGGGCAGTGCTGCAGCAGCAAGACTGAAACGCCCAGGCTCCACGCAGGTTTTCCACCTTAGTGGTGCTTTGCCCGAGGCCAGTTCTGCCCTTTTGCTAGTCACTGGCTCAGGGGTGGGGCCCTCCAGGATCAGACCCCAGCATGGGGCGTTCTGCACATACACAGTGGAAAGGTTCTGTCTTAGAAGGAAGGCTGGAGACGGTCAAAGAGTGCAAGAAAAGATGTATTTATATCCTCCTTTCCACAAAGAGCAATTAAGTGGCTTTCCTAAGACGACCCGGGAGATGTGTGTCAGAGCTGGAACCATCTCAGTCCCCGTCCTGCCCCGTCCTTTCTCCCCTCTCTGGAGGGATTTTCAGCCCTGAAGTTTCATAAGTTTCTGCTTTTCATTAGAGCCACTTTCTCAGGCAACATCACTGAGCCCCAAGCCTGTGTTTGTTTATGTGCTAACAACTTCAATGGGACTTTGCCTGAGGACCTGGAGACTAAGACCATTGAAAGGGTTTCCTTTAAACTGGATATGATTTTAAAGTCTTACTTTTTTTATTTCCACATTCCCCACATGGCCTCCAGACCCTTTAGACTTTGTGTCTACCCACAGCTACTCTTTGGAGGACAGCTCCAAACCAAGAGGCATTAAGCACGACTTGTAAACAAAAACTACAAGATTGAGCAAGAAACCTACCGGGAAGAAGTGAAGAGAGATCCATTAACGGATCCAAAGCAGGATAAGCCAACAAAGACGGGTATGATCCAGGACATGAAGCCAAGGTGGTAGTTCCCAAAATCCTAAATAGGGGCCAACAAAACAGACATTTCACACCCAGGATGTCCAGAAGAACTCACAGCTGCCTACAAAGTACTTAGTATTTGTAGAAAGCTGAACAAATGGCATGGCTTGGTGCTGAAGCTGTTACGGGGTTGTCCATATTGCCATTTGCTGCTCCTCCTTCCTGAAAAAGCATACTGTGGAATTGCAAAAAAAATCAGCAGCAAGGCCTGGAGCTGTAGTTTTCTGTCACAAACTGATGCCGCGCTGCTTCACTGCAGTTTGAGGCCAACGCCATGATACTGATTTCAAGACTTGCAAAGTCACACAACTAGAGCGATGCAACCCAGACCGGCACCTCCAGTAACTCAGCACTGCGTAGGTGCAGGCTGGAGCGCCGGCACCTGGGTGGCCCAGTCCAACTTCTCCTGGTCTGGGAGATTCCCCTTGAAGCCCTGAACAATGCTGGTCACACTCAGTTTGCAAGGTCATACCGTGCTGCTCACTTCTGAAGCAACCAGGAGTCCTGACCGCAATGGCATTTTAATTAATGGAAGTATTATTTTTCTCTCTTAATTAAAACAAGGAAGATACAGAGAGAGAACAATCCAGTTCAGTATTGACCGAATGACCTTTTCTCATAAATATCATGCTCTGATAACTGGTGATAAGTCATGAGGCCAGCAGCAACCTTGCATATTTATGAATTAAAAGCAGCGTTAACTGACTGCCCACCCTTACTATTGTCTGTGATTAATCCCACTTGGTATCACGCTGTTCTTCCCTGCTCCTGTCACAGTTGCCTTTATCTCCTGTCAAACATCAGCTTTTTTTGTAAGCAGCCATGGTCAGCCTGGAACAAACTAGGAGGTGTATGCAGAGACTTTAAGTCTGATTTAACCAGCCTTGGAAAACAGATGAGTCACATCAGAAATGCACCTATCTTACCACAGCCACGGCTTCGGACGTCAGCATCTGGTCCGTCGACAGGGTCGTGAAGTAAGCCAAGTTTGTCAGCACATAAACCAAAGTGACTACAGGTAGTGAGATGATGATAGCCAGAGGCAGGTTTCTAGGAAGAAAATATAAATCGCGATGAAGCGCTGCAGCTCAGAGAAGAGAATTCTTGATGCCACGGACGGGTGGCTCACGCTGCAGCCCTCCCTTGAAGTCGGTTTGAGCCATGCTGCTCTTCTTTGGCTCTTCAGCATGCCCAGTTTCCCAGCCACATGCTGCTCCCCAGGAGAGGAGAAGATGCCCACACGGAGCAGCCTGGAGGCAGATGGACGTAGAGTGAAGGATTATGGCAGAAGGGGCTTTCTGCATGGAGAGACTGGCTGGCTGGGCAAGCAGTAATCCAAGATCACTGCAAAGCCAATTAGTTAAATAACTCCCCGTGTCTCTTGCTAGCCAGTGGCATTAGCACATGCGTTCTCTTCTGCGTAAAGGAGAAGCATTTGTGCTGGTGGGTTTCTTGTGGGAGAAGGGAAGATGGGGGATTTAGTGCGCAGCTTTTAGGCTCTAACTCTGTGCAGCTGGCTGGACCAGTGAAACTCAAAGCAAATGAGTTCAGACACAGTCTGAGTGGGTCTGCAAAGACGAGGCTGTGTTGGTACGAATTTGCCTTTCCAAACAGTCTAACTTCATTTGCGAATGGAAACTGAAAAAGGAAACCCTGCTTGATGCCATGTATAATTGGTCTAGTGAAGCTCAAAGCCACAGGAGGAGAGAGTCAAATACCATGACTGCATTCAGAAGACACGAAAATAATTGCAAACTGCAAAACCTTTTTATAACTCTGTTTGTCAAGGAAAGGGCATATCAAATCTTGTGCTTCCCAGCAGGCACTAATCAGTGCCAGGGTCAGCCAGCAACGGCTTCTCACACAAGTGACCCTGAAGCTCGCATTGACAGTGCATCACAGGCACCTTCCCTATGAGCAGAAATGATTTATCAGTGATATCCTGCTTTGGGGTGGCCCACCCTCATCTCACCAGATCCCCTGCGTAACCCTGAAAGGCACGAGCCGTGCAGAAGGAGGCTCTTGCTCAGCAGAACAGGAAGAGCACGTGACAAACATACGTACGCACAAATACTCTCGTGGGAGTGTACACAAGACAGTAATAAAGCCATCATGTTTCTTCCTCACCTGTAATTCAGAGAGGTGCCAAGGAATCAGGGCTTTCCAACAGCACTGATAATATTAGCAGTACAGGAAAGCAGTGTAAGCAACAGCCCTCCTCATACAGAGATTATTATTCCCCTTCCCCTATTCCAGGGAGGAATAATGGCATTAATTTATCTCATTTTCTATTTTTTTCAGAAAAAGTCTTTGGTTTCTGGGCTGATTAACAGCCCCTGTTACACACACGAGGAAGGGGCTTCCCGAGAACAACAGGCTTTCCTCCCCAGGAAGTTATCACAGGACACACACCTACCTGTAGGGATTTATCATCTCTTCTGTAACAAAATTCAAGTAATTCCTGTAATTTTAAAAGAATGGTGGTTAATTCTGGTTAGTCCATGGAATAAATGAAGCCCTTCATCTTACTCATCTGCCAGGGGATTTCAGGAGCGGTGGAGAGACTGACACCTGGGATGGCTGATGCCACAAACCCTGCAAAGCACAAGCGCTGGCCGGTGCTGGTGCATCGGGCTCCCCACGCCGCCTGCTCCCTTGCAAGAGGAGGGGTGATTGCAGTGAAGAGCTGGACCCAGCAGCCACAGGGCCACCCCTCCAGGCCGCAGGGATGGCTACAACTGGCCTGTTTCCACAGCAAATCAAGCAGGCTCCTTTGTGCTTGCAAGTGCTCAAAGGGACTGAGAACCCCCAGGACCTTCAGTTTGGTGCTCAGTGTAACCTGCTGGCATGTGGCACAGCTCTCCTCCTCGAGCTAAACCCACCCTGCTGCTTTCTCTTAACACACCCAGGAGCTGCATGAAGCATCGTGGTGCGTCATCACCCATCACCTGCTGCTGCTTCTAAATCCCATCGTCGCCTCCACTTCTTTGTTGCTTCCGTGTCCTGGCTGGAAACGGGGTCTGAAGTGTGACTATTAACACTATTAGGCAAACCCAAAGCATCTGCCTCGTTGCTCTGGTTACAAGCAAGAGTTGGAACGTCCTGGACCACGCTCTTTCTGCAAAGGCAATCTAGGGACGGAATGAACTGCAGTATTTTGCACCGGAAAGAGATACAGGGCTGCATCTTACCATCCTCCATAGGCAAAGAGACCGCTGTACAAAGCTAACACGATGTTCCCCACGCCTACTTTGGTGCCTTTGAAGGAGTGCTCAGGAGTCAGGTTTGTCACATCACCTGCAGAAAACGAAAACAAGAAAGGGTCGATGCGGCTGGACTGTGAACCCCAAGGGCCTCGGTGGGTGTTGAAACAGAGAAACCTGGAGGCGAAAGCTGCTCTTAGGATACTTAATAGTCACGCTGATGCATTTCAGGTTAGGCTAGAGAGCACGTGCACATACTCTTAGAGGGCTGATTCGTCCAGTTTTACAGCGCTTAATTCATCTGGAGTAAAGCACCGGATAATCAACCCCCAATATACTTGTCTCAAGCAACTGGCCATTACTGAGCACTCAGACTTTCTCACACTGCAGTGTGCTATCGCCGAGATAATCTCCCAAATATCGTCCTGCGAGGAAAACATTCTGGGGACCTTCCTGCTGAAAGATGCTATGCAAACAGATATTGTCACATTGTCCTCTCAACTGAAAGCTGCTTTCATTCGATAAAACCCCAGGATTTCCTCCACTTCCACCAACCACCCAATAAAGCAGAAACCCAGGATTTCCTCTAGTCCCACCAGCCACCTGATAAAGCAGAGGGTTATGGTAATCCCTTTGATTGTGGGAAGTCAGGTTCTTTGGGGCTTGAATATCAGAAGTTAGCTTCTTTAGGGCTTGAATATCAAAAGTTCCTGTTATGCATCTGCTTTTGAAATAAAAAGCCATAAATAGACAACTCGATTGTACCTTTGGTAAGAACTCTCCCAGAGCAGCCAAGGGTTTATTTATTTTGCTTTCATTTGCTCTGCAGTTGTTTTGTTCCCTGCCTTTTGATGTGGAGCCTGGGTATAGGCCCGGGCTGGCGCAGCCACGCTCCCCTCCCCGGGCCCAGCGCTCCCCTTGGTGAGGACGGAAGCGGGGAGCGAGGCAGGATTCAGGAGGGCACGTTTGCATCCAGGGAGCCCTGTCGAAGCCCATGTGATTCCTCTTAGGGCACAGATCTCTACTAATCACCCGAGCAAATGCATCACATGGCAGTCAGCAGGGCCTGGAGCTTAACCCTTCATCTCTTAGCGCAAGGTATCCAAGACGTGGATTTGAGGAAAGGAGAGGGATGCTCACACGCCCGGCATTTTTCCTCTGGATTGGCCTCTCTTCCCACCTCACGCCGGGAGCTTTCGCTCCCCTGTGCCACCAAAAAGCCACTTTTTCAGCATCTGGGTAACAAATACGGAGGCACGGACCCTTTTACGCCTCGCACTTATCTTTTTAGTGGTGGGAAAGGGGGACTTTTCCCGACGGCGCTATCGGTCTGCTGGTGCAGCTTTCATTCATGGGGCTTCGCAGGCGACTGCTCCAACTCTGTGCCAGTGACAGGGAGCTGCCCTCTCTGTGCGGGGGAGCTACATCTTGTCTTTCCCCCTTTCTACCTGACCCTCCAGCTCTATCCCCATCCTTTCCACCCTGGGCATTGCTCCCTTCACCTCCTTTCTGCTTCCTGCTCCTGCCAAGTCCTAACCAGGGCAAAAAGATATTCCCTAACATGCCGTGCAAAATGCTCTCTGCTCACAAAGCTACCACGGAAACCAGCATCCTTCTGCCTCCTTCCCTGGCTGGTAGTTATCCCGTTTGCAAGGGGATGCTGTGGGTGTGAGCTGCGAAAGAACCAGGACCACAGCAGCAGCTGATGCACTGGGGTGCGGGAAACCCAGCGCAGTTCTGTCCGGCAGGTTCTCAAGGATCAGCTTCTCCAGATCCCACTGCAGATTGCTCCACTGTTGTTGCCTTGTCCCCCTCGCCCAGCAGCCCCTCGCAGCAGGAAGGTCTGTTCTGAATCTACCTTGGGATATGCTGGTTGTATTTAATGCCCCTTTAGCCAGTGAATCTCCTTAGCAAAACGCACCACTCCTTTTTTTAAAAAAAAGTGAGGTTAGAAAATGTACAGAGTGTAACAGGAAAGCCAGGAAATGCAAAGAGACTGATATAATGCTGCGAGTTTAACCTTAATTCCTGGTTTATAGGTTCAGTCATATAATCTTAATTTAGCATTAATGCCCTGGCCCGGCTGTGAATAAAAAGGCTGAGCAGGAGGTGGGTGTGCACGGTATCACATTCTGCTGGATCCCTCGGGCTCAGCTTTACTGAGTTTATTTTCTCCCACTCTTGAATAATTACCAAGCTAGTTCTTTCCAGATCTTTTGTTATGGGAATAAGATACAGTTTTTGTTAACAGTGGCTGTAATTAGCTACTGGAATGGCACACGAATGAACTAGGAGAGCTCTCCAAGCATTTCAGACACCCCTCGGGGTGTCTCCCCCGGGGCTGAGGGACCACCACCTTTACCAGCTCAGGAGGATGCTCTGATCCGGGAGGAGCCAGGGCACCGGCAGCATCACGCTGTGGGCTCACACTTCCATTTCTCGTCCACACCTGGACACCAGCTTCCACCGAAAGCCTCTTTCTGTTTAGCACAGGCGAAAAACTCTCAGGCCAAACGTTCCTTTTTCTGAGGCATCTGCAGGTTTCGCTCTGTGTCGTCCCAAACCTCACACAGAAACCGTGTGCTGGGGCCGCCGAGGAAGGGCTGAGCTGCCGCCATCGCCCAGCTGGCCAGGACAGGAGGAGAGCATCGGTGGGCCCCCCAACCGCAACCACATCCCTGGATGCAGGATGTGCCACCCGCTTGGGGACCGCAGGCACCTTCAGCCCCTGGGCGAGGAAGGGCCCGAGCCCAGTTTGGTGGCCTGTTGGGCTGTGCAGACACTTTGGCTGCGAGTCAGGACTGCTTGCCCTCCAGGACACCAGCAAAGAGGAGGGAAAGGCAGCGTGGGACCGCTACGGGAGCGGCACTGAGGCAAAGAAATTAAAACAAAGCCTGGCATCTCGTTACACGGTGGGTGGGCAGGCGTGACGGATGGAGGGATGGATGGGTGGGACATAACTAATTACTCGTACACCTCTTCCTTGCACGCACCGAACCCGTCCCTTTGAAGCACGGAAATGCAGCTACAGGCAAAGGAGTGGCAAGTCAGCGTGGAGGCAGCCAGGAGAGGAGAGGAGGTAGGAAGGAAGGGGCTTTTTGTTCCTCCTCAACGCTTGAGGAGCTGACACCCCGTTGCCCTCTCCCTGCCTCACCTAGCAAGAGCTGCAGCTTTTCTAAAAACTTGCAGCGAGTTGCTAAGCTTCACATCTTTATGCTCCCATGGTAAAACGGATTTAGCAACATGTCAGAACGTGATTAAATAACCAGAGGAGCTGAGATCTGTCTCTTCCCACTCCAAGGGGACGAGCTCGTGTTCCCAGGTGTCCACACGATGCCCCTTTGCTGTTTGCTTCTTTCATGCTTTATCGCTTCTTGGTTGCATGACAGGAGCCCGGGCTCCTTAACAGGCATGCCCTGAAGACCACATCCCAGCAGAGCAGCCATCCTCTCCCCGCATCACCACAAAGCTCTGTCCCACCCTGCCAGCCCGTGGATCACCAGAAAGATAACAACTTGTGCCCGCCGGCGATGCCTTTACAGACACAACTGGCACCACATTATACATCTCGGGGCAAGAAAGCCAAACGCCAGCAGCGATGCTGGAAAGGTATCCCAGATGTCTTTTGACATGGGCCAAGTTGTAAAACACAGCAGGTGAGCTCCGCCTGTGCCCACAAATCCTTGGATGAGAAATCCATCGCGCAAAGATACCTCCTCTGGAGCAGAGGATCCAGAGGTGCACTGCCAGCTGAGAAAGGGTCCAAGAAGCACCACGTATCCCCCCCTGTTCTTACACTTAGCACCGATGCTTGCTATTGACCCCAGCTGGAGACTGGGCATACTGGGTAGGTGGTCCAGCACAGTCATCGTTACCTCCTCCTTCTAAAATAAATGCTCATTCGGACCTGCTGTTCAGAATGGAGTTACGAACCTCAGCTCCAGACACTCCGCATCCTTCAAGCCTGAGTGTGCAACTCAAGGCTCCAGACTTCGGAGGCTTGAATTGCAGACTTTGGCTCCAATCAAGGGTTACAAACCTGCAGGTGAGGCTGCCAAGCACGGCCTCCACTGCTCCCGTGGAGCCCGAGGTCTGTAAGCGAGAGCATCCCGGGCACAGCCGTGCTCTGCCCACCCTGCCGGCTCCCTCGTCCCCCCCAGCCCACGCAGCCAGGGCTGCTCTCTAGGCAATGCCCTGCCCGCGCCCGGTACCCTGGAGAGCTGAAACCTGGTTTGAACTGGCTGTTCAATGCACTCTGCTCTACAATTAACCAAATTAAGGTAACAAGTTCTGACATAAACCCCATTTGCTGATCTTGCCAGCTGCCAAGACTCTGGTAATTGCGCCGGCAAGCGATGGGTCACCTGGGGCCTTTCTGTGGGAGGGACCTATTTCAGGTCCATGCACTGCATGTTTGGACCATTTCTTTGAAAATGTTCATTTACTCCCCGGTCATGTCCGTTCCAGTTTTAATAGCACAGCAATCTTCTCCTGCAGAAAGCATTTAATGATAATTAAATATTTTTAACTTGCCTAAACAGTGAGGAGAGGGAACACAGCCATCTAGAGAGCTCAGCAAGAGAAGGGGGGGCCCTCAGCGCGTCTCGCTTGTGGAAACCAAGCCAGGGAGAAATGCGTTGTATATATGAAAAACCCCAGAGGAGAAGATCTACTCAGCTGTTGAGCCATTTCCTGAAAAAAGCAGCAAGAGTTCAATCGACTGAGCCAGAAAAACAAGACAGCAAGAAACAGGCAGGGGCCAAGGTTAGGAGAGCATCCCTTCGGCAGCTCATGGCTCCCAGGGAAGCGCACGCTCGGCAGCCACATGAGCTGTTTGCTCCTCTCTGATCGCTGTCACTCTGCGGACAGCTTTGCATTAGGTGGTTTTGAACAGCGGCTATTAAACTTGGGTCCCGTAGCAGACGAGTTTATGGGTCTGAAAATTTCTTCTCCGGGGTGAAGGCAAGGGTCCGGGCTCCTGGATTCACTCCACCCCACACACTGCTCGAGCTTCACAACTCCTCCTTTTGCAGTGGTCCACCAGGACACTACCTGGGCCAGACAGCGTGTTGTTCCCTTTCCACCTCCTCTGCA